GCTGTGCACCCCACGTGGCCGGGGCATTTGTGTCCTAGAAACGCTCAGGGCAACAAATAGCCACAAACACAGAGTTGTAGCCACAAACTGCGAGGGACCCCTCAGAGCCCAGCGGTCCTGCCCTGCCCTCAGCTCTAGCAAAGCCAGCCCCACGACAGGTGCTGCGCCCAAACTGCTTCTCTTCAGGCCAACTCACCTCGTAACCAAAAGCCACCAAAGCCAAGGAAAAAGCTCAAGTGCTGAGCCCACCACAGCTGCCTGGCACAGACGACTCCCACCACCCGCAGCAAAGTCCCTGGAGACAAGGATGCTGAGCAGGGACCATCACCAGCCCCAGAGAGCTTGAAAGAGAGTGGGAGGAGAGCAGGGCCATCCCCAAGCTGCTACACACCCTGGGTCTCCCCAGGATGCAACAGCACCTTTGGCTGCAGAGGGGAGGGAAGGGCCCCTCGCAGAACGTGGCCATGGTTCACGGGGGGGGACGACGACGACGACGGACAGGACACCGGCAGGCCACTGCTCAGCTCCAGCCCCCACCAACACCGAGACAGGCTGGCTACAGGTGCTTCCCAGCGCTGAGAAAGCTCACTTGGGCTCAGCAAACATGGGAAAGCTTTTTTTGCTGAATTTCTTTCACCTCTAGGGTGAGAACTCCAGGAGGAGCGGGAGACAACAAGCGGTGACTGCTTCGTGCAGGGCCAGGTGAGGCTCCATCACCTCCTTCCTGCACCTCTGAAGGGGTGGCACAGGGTAACTGCCAGGCAGGGTGACAGCAAGCTCTGAAAGGGGTCCTGGAGAGCTGAGAAAGGATCACTGCCCCCCCAAGAAGGGGTGAGGGGGAGAGTCAGGGTTGCATCTCTGCTGTCACTCCTCCAGGAGAAGCCTGTGGCTCTCACTCCTCACCAAGGGCTCGGCTCCCTCGGCTGCTCTGCTGACAGTTATTCCTAACGGCAGGCAGGAACCGAGTGGGGCTGGAGCTCTGCCCAATTCCAGCTGCCAGACTGATGGCAGCCCAAGACCGCTGCGGGCGCCGCAGGGCTTTGGAGGAATGCAGGCAAAGTACAGGTTATTCCCATTCACCTGTTCTAATCCCTGAGACTTTCTTCCTCTTTGCCATCAGGAAATGTGCAGCCCAGTGGGATGTTCAGCCCCCAGGTGTGGAGGGGCACGGAGGTTTTGGCACTGTGAATGTCAGCACTGTGGGAGCTGCTGCAGGGAAGAGGTGGTGAAACACTGCGCTGGCCGGATGCCAGGTGTACCTCTGAGAAGCACCTGATGGGCTGGGTGCTCATACAAAACTTTACACAATCCTTCCCTGAGCTGGGAAAGCCTGGCCTCACTGCTGAGAGAGGAGGTGCCTCATTGCCCTTCGCTCTCCCAGCCTTTGTGCCGGCGCAAGCACCCATGTGGCTGCAGAGCACACTGGATCAAGATACCAACCAGAGCAAAACTGCTTTCTGCTGAGCTTGTCCTATCCTAGGTCAGTTCTCCAGGCCAGTTTGCTCTGGGGATGCACAAACGCTTTCACTGGCCCGAGAAAAGGGAGAACTGAGGGTCCAGGGAGAAGCACTGCCCCTTTCCATGGCAGCACCAGACCAGGCTAGTGTAAATACTCATTAAATGTCAGCAGAAGGTGCACAACAAGATGCAATGCGTTTGGGGCATGTTTAGCACTTGGCAGGAAGAGGTCTCCTGGTTCTTGCCTGCTGCACTGAACCTTAGTGCCCGACAACCTTTACTGGGGGAGCTGTGGCTGGCCCCCAGCCTCATCCTTCCACGGACTCTCCTCCACATCCCAAACACAGCCACCAGAAACACTCCCTGTGCGCACAAGGACTTCAGGCACCTTCTGCTTCTCGTCCTCCTGAGGGATCAGAAATCCCTAGCCTTGCGCTCACGTCTTCCTTCAGCATCTTGGCGTGCCTGACGCACAGACTGAGCCAGGATGAGCACA